TTTAAACTGTAGCTGTGCTCGCAGCTGAAGTTGAAAAAGCAGGAAATAAAAGTCAGGTAAGAGCCCGGGCGGGCCGGTGGGCAAAAACATCAGCAGACATAGAACCAGTTCTATGTCAGCTGCTCTTCAGAGCTACTGGTTCTACAGAGGTGGACAGAACCAGTAGAAATCCACCCCTGCCTGTGCCATGTAGGTCTTTAAAGGTGATGACCAGCACCTTGAATGGCACCTGGAAAGAAACTGAAGCTTGTGCAACAGAGGTATTATATGGGCAATCCTAAGGGCCCTCTTTACTATGCATTCTACACCAGTTAAAGTTTCTGGGTGATCTTCAAGGGCAGGCCCATGTAGAGCACATTGCAGCAGTCCCAATGAGAAATGACCAAGGCATGAGTGACTGTGACAAAATTGTACTCAGTGCCTACTGATTGCATGTTTCACATTGCCTTTCTCAGGGATTTTCTTTGTTAAAACTCCCCAAACTATCCTAGAGCTTTGAGATCCCTCATAATCTCTTATTAATGTATTATCCAAGTTCTACCATGCTTGCCTTATTGCTACTTGTACTAGTCATCAACAGGTAAGCATGCCACCTTGACCTTGGAAACTTCCTCTTTAGGCATTCTAGGGGGAGAGCCATGTTGATGTACAGTAGCCAAAATCCAGAAGGTGTCCAGGAGCGTTATTTCTGACGAACAAATTTTATTAAATTAAAATATCATTAAAAGTTTTTTATTACAAGAATTAAGTTTTACAAAGCTTATGGTTTTATTAGCCAAAAAAAAAAAAGTGCTACCAGGCTCCTTCCCATAATTTGGCTGTTCCATCCAAAAAGGCTGCTCATTTGTGTTCTGCCCACATTTCAGAATACTCCTCTAAATAACATTTAATTAAACCAGAGAATTCACTGCCATTAGATGATGGTTGTTTTAGAAGAAGACTGACCAAAATTCATAATGGACCAGGTTATCAATATTATTGTTTGCATGATTGTATAGCACCATGCATCAACTGCTTGGAACAAGAGGGCAATCATCTTACTATCTGTGCTTGCAAGATTTCTGAAATGTGTATGATGCCAAATGCTAGACCAGTAGTCTAAATGACTTTTATAATGGTTTGATTGTGGTCTGTCTGCAATGTTGGATCTCAATTGGTAGCTTTACATGCAGAGTCCTCCCTGATAAGAACTGACATTGTCTTGCACAGCTTTCATGGTATAGGACAAATTGGGCATTCATTACATGTGCACCATTGAGCAATGAAGCTACTTGGCCTCACTTATGGTAACAGCTTGCATCGCTGACAGCCAGGCACTCAACAATCACAAAGGATGGATTTCAGTTGTCTTTCCCTGCACTGCATTAGTGAAGATAAGAGTTCCCCTCCCTTGTAGTTGCCTTCAGCTTCCACTCAAACCACTTCTAGGTGGCGGTGAATTGACTTTTACCAATGAAAAATATCTAAATTGATTAGCCAAATCATAAAAAAGCTACCCTTAATCAAATGTAAAGGGTTTTTCCACACTTTTTTTGTGCCATACATTGGGTAGTAATAGTAAAAAAATAATAGTAATAATAAGAATTCCCATGATTCTTAAACTCACAGTTAGAACCCAAATCCTCAAAAAATACCCAATCTAAAGACTGTGATATTTGTTGGATGAATAGATAATAACAGGGGTGGGAGGGATGGCAAACTACAAGGGATAGCACTTAGCTGCCTCTTCCAAAGCATGATTTATTAGTTGAGATTCACTGCACTGCAGTGTAACAATCACCATTTAGGTAGTTAGAACAAATTATCTAGCAACTGACTAGCACCAAATATCTAGATATTGGTCCCTAAGAACATTTTGTTTATTATTTATATATCATCTCACTGTTGAAGTGACTCTGAGTAGTTTACAAGTAAAACTAATACCGTGTTTCTCATAAAATAAGGCCAGGTCTTATATTTTTTTGAGTCCCGAAAAAACGGCTAGGCCATCTTTTTGGGGGTGACTTAATTCCCCCCCTTGCATCCTCATCTAGAACACCCCATGGGCAGCCTTGCCACCAGCCACTCCTAACGGGTGATCATGGCGAAGCGCAGAGAGCTCCCTACTCCCACCAAACACCTTTGCTGCAGACCCAAGACCTTTGGCACCCGGCACTGTTCCTTTCCCTTCTGCCCATTCTGCCACCACATTTGGGGTTGCCGCTTCCGTGTTTGGAGTGCTGCTGCCATTTGGAGTGCTGCCACCATTTGGAGCACTGCCTTCATGTTTGGAGCTGCCACTTCCGCATTTGGAGCTGCCACTTCCGCGTTTGGAGTGGCGGCGCCGCTCCAAATGGCGGTGGTGCTCAAAACAGCGGCAGTGCTCCAAACGTGGAAGCGGCAGCTCCAAACGTGGCAGCAGCTCCAAATGCGGAAGCGGCAGCTCCAAATGGCAGCGGTGCTCCAAACAGCGGCAGTGCTCCAAACGCGGAAGTGGCAGCTCCAAACGTGGCAGCAGCTCCAAATGTGGAAGCGGCAGCTCCAAATGGCAGCGGTGCTCCAAACAGCAATGGTGCTCCAAACGTGAAAGTGGCAGCTCCAAACGCAGTGGTGGCATGGGCAGAAGGGAAATTAACAGCAGCAGGCACTGAAGGTCTTGGGTCTGCAGCAAAGGTGCTTGGCAGGAGTAGGAAGCTCTCCGCGCTCTGCCATGATCGCTCATTAGGAGCAGTTGGTGGCGAGGAATTGCTGCCCACGGGGCGCTCCTAACGGCAAGTCCCCCTGCCCTTCCCCCCATTTCACATGTTTTAAAATAGGCCTAAATTTGGGGGAGGGGCTTAATTTCATTTTATGCCTAGAAAACATGCTGGTTCTTCCTATTGGGGGAGGTCGTATTGTTGGAGAAACACGGTAAAATCTGCATAAAAGTCTAAACAAAAATAAGTAAGTTAAAAAGACAAAGAGAGCACCTTCAAGCCTGGTAACCTGGGTCCATGCTGTGAAGAGCTTTCAAGGTCATAACCAATATTGTACCCAATGCAGCTTGAACAGTAGAGGTGTTTTGTGCGTATTCCTAGTGGCACCCCAAACTGTCTCTGCTGCTGCATTTTGCACCACCTGCAGCTTCCAGATGCTTTTCAATGACAGCTCCATGTAGAATGCATTGCAGTAATCCATTTGATACAAAGAATAAGAAATGTGTGTTGATACAATACTACGTTAAGATCGTTAAGGTACCTTTGCTGCTCAAAACCATTCCATATACATCTCCCTCCTTTAAAAACTGAATAAATATATAGATAGATGCATAAAGTCCAACTCCTTTCTTTGTTGCTGATTTTGTGAGTTGTACCATTGGAATCCTCATCCTCAAAAATTCTATGCATCTTCTGTGTAATTTGCCCTCTTATCCTCCCTAATGTTTGAGGAATATTGATCTGCTTGCCAGAATTCTTTATTGTATCTCCTGATAATCTCTCCTGCATTTATAGTCTTTGTGCTCTATCCAGCATTTATTATCCCCTTTTGTAATGGTGAACTCCTTAGACCTTTACATGGTAATGTAATAATACCTACCACTTTGTGTGCTGCAAATAGATGGTATCAAGCATCCTTAAATGTCAACTTTAATGTCTTATGTGTGAGCTAAAATTCTCAACGCTGGTATTTTAATAATCTTTCCAAATAAAAAAGGAAATTATAATAACTGTGTAAATTTCAACCCAAGAGGATAAGTATTTGTACAGTGGTCCCTAAACTAAAGTAGAGACATCAAACTATGTTGGCTATTTCTGCTCAGAAATCTGGTTCTTTGTTTTTCTACAAAAATGACCTGATAATGCAATTTTCCACTTCAAAATAAGCCTTTCAGAATACTAAAATAGTTCAACGTGGCTTCTTATTTCCATGACTAAAATGAATAATTCCTTAACAAAAAGTTGTGTTTCAGTTAAAAACAAATCTTAAAGTGTGTGTGTGTGTGTGTGTGGAAATTCCTTCTAAAAATTAATAATATCAGCTTCATGATCCGATGACTTAAATACTTTGTTTTCTGCCTTCCTTTTATACTTAAATAATGGGGTCATGGAATTTTATGTGCCACACCCAAATTGGTGCATAATGCTAATATATTAAGCATATGAACCATTACAATCATGTCCCTGTGCCAAGCTGAAATAATGACACAGAATGTTATCATCAGGCAGTACGTACTTGATATACAGGTAGTCCTCGAGTTACAACAGTTCATTTAGTGACACATGATTGTTTTTCACATGACCATTGCAGTATCTCCATAGTCACATGATCAAACTTTGGATGCTTGTCAACCTACTCATATTTATGATGGCTGCAGTGTCCAAGGATCATATGATCACTTTTACAATGCTCTAATGAGCAAAGTCAATGGGGAAGCCAGATTCACTTAAACTGTGTTACTAACTCAACAACTGCAGTGATTCATTTAATAACTGTGGCAAGAAAGGTCATAAAATGGGGAAAAATTCTCTTAACAAACGTTTTGATTAGTAACAGAAATGTTGGGCTCAGTTGTCATCGTAAGTCAAAGATTACCTGTACTGTAGTATATAGTGTAAAGAACATGGATTAGCTGTGTTTGTATTACTTTGCACGCACCCTCAGGACACTGAATCTGTAGCATTTTTTGAAGTTGGAGTTTTCCACTTTTGCCTGGTTAGAGAACCAGATTATAGGACATGACTATAAATAAATGGTTTTTTAATGCTAATCTGCGAAATAAACCATAGATTCTGAAGCAACCCAGAAATCAATTTCATCTGCTGCTGAGTGGAGAAGTTGATTCCCTCTACTTTCAGTTAAAAATGTTGGCCTCATCCTGTCAGTAAAAATACAAGCAGCTTGAGATTCATTGCTGACCAAAGGGGGAAAAAAAAATAAAAGATTGGAACAGGGAATCAGTAACACATTTTAAGGGTATAATAAGTTAAATGTCAGTGTTCACTTGGGAAGTTTGTAGAGATGACATGCTTCATTCTACTCACCATTGTTGTTTCTGCAATAGATCCAAAGCTGTTGATGAAAATATTGCAGCTCACATTCACTGGTGGACCTGTAAAACAAATAAAGGCTGATAGTATCTCTTGGGTATCAATCCATCAAAGAACAGTGGACTATTACAGTTGAATTAAAGCACAGTTGACAAGTACAGTTGTCTCTTACTGAATCCATTGCCCCAGTATAAGTTACAATGGTAATAAATCTTTCATTTGGTAACATTCTTCTATTTCCTCATACCAGATCAGTTTTGTACTTTGTGAAGACTTTTTCTAATGCCTTCCAACCAATTTGTTACAATGCATGGAAGATGAGGATCACTGTGTCTCTGCTTCTCTTTTGGCATCACCAGCAGCTGTTTATATATAAAGTCTACTTATAGACTTTATATATACTTTATATACTATAGTGCACCCAAACCAAGTGTATGGAGATTTGGCATAAGAACCACAGTGTAACTATATGTTTTATTATACACTTAGTTTATGTAGTTGGAAGTTGCTACAGTATAAAGAAAAGCTAGATTGTGAGGAAGGCAGATGTGATTTTAATTTGACAGAAGCAGCAATATATTAATTATGTAGAAAGAATATTAACTCTGGCTCATAGATTCATAGAGTTTTAGAGTTGGACATACCTTACAGATCATCTAGTCCAGTGGAACATCTGCTAAGGCATTTTGGAGAAATGGACCTCTATTTGAAGACCTCCAATGTAACAGAACATATAATGAGTTCTACTGGTTGGCAGTTCTTACTGTCAGGAATTTTCTTCTAGTATTTAAACTTAGTTAAAATTAAATGAAGTTGCTGGCATTTTCCTCCTTGGCCCCACTTGCTAATTCCATTGTTCCCACCTAACTTTTGGAGACATGATTCTAGCATGCCATTTAAGACTAAGGGAGATCCTTAAGTAGAAGTAGTTATGCACAGAAGGCTTTATATGACGCAGAATTATTTTTCTTATGTTGCCATTCTTGCCATTCTTTCTTATATATTTAATCAATCTGATTAGGATTATTTTGATCCAACAGGATATAGGAAGCACGTTGTACTGATTCGCATCTTCCTTCCTATTCAGTGATCTTTGTTTCTTTTTCAGACTAACTTTCGTTGGGAACAGGAAGGCTCAGTTGAGTAAATTGGGGCCCCTTTCTCCAGAGCAACATTATTTAAATCCTTTCAGCTCCTTGACTTTAGATCGCAAAAACCTGGTGGACAAAGGGATTCAGAAAACCCCATGTGTCCTTTCCAATAAAAGACTAACAAAGGGCATCCAAGCTGGGAAGCAGCTGAAGAGGTCCCAAGAGGAAATGACAATTCGGGTCAGAAGCTTCAATGTCTGGTAACCGAAATGATCAGAAAAGGGCCACGCGCTTGATTTCCTTTTGGTTTTAGTATCTGTTATTTCTTGGCTGTCTACCTTGGAAAGATGACAGAATTAAACAAGCCAGCAAGCCTAGCCCAAATATAAATAAATCTTTGCAAATAGCAGTGGCAGGCTGCAACGTTCAGTAAGGATAATGTATCAATCTATATTCAGGACCAGGATACGGCTGACTGAACATGAAGGGGAAAAGGGTGAGCACAGATCTGTCTGGCTTCAAAGGGCTTGCCAGGAAACAGTTCCAGCTGATTGTCTAGGTTCCTTGAGGATTCCTTGATAGAATCGAAGGGTCGGTTCACACCTACAGGCCAGTCAGTGGAGTTCTGTATATTTTATTGCTGGGTATTTGAATTCCCCATGACCACATGGGTCCTGAAGAATAATGTTTATCTAATGCCAAACTAGAAAAGGCTCTGACCAGGCTTGTTTTTTAAGGAGTAATTCTAAGAGAATGCTAGTTTGGGAGGAAATCCCAGCAACATTAAGTTTAATTTTGGTTCAAATTAAGAGTGTGAAGTGCTCCTTATTTGTTATAGAATCTCATTTTAATCATCTCCTTTTAATGACCCCATAATCCCTTGCAGGGTGTAGTCTGGGCAACTGAATGGAACTAAATGTTTACTGGCCGGATGCCCTTCCTCTCACCAATTCGGAGTTATATTCAGCAGATATATTCTCATTGTGGCCCAAGAGAAATATCTGCCTCTACCTAGGCTCGAACTTACATCCTCCTGATTGTGAGGTGAGAGCTGCTCCTCTAGGCCACCGCACCATTCAATCTCATTTTGATATGGTTGGGAAAACTTGGACACTCGTGGATTTTTTTTTTTATTAACATCCAAAGGCACTTCCAAATCTGTGCCTCAAAAATGAAAAGACGGTTAATTAATCATGCAATTAACCCCCCTCACTTTTTTAGATGCATCATGCATGCTTGTAAAAAGTTGACAGGTCTTGATCACATGGTCTTGATCACAGCCTTGATGTCCTGGCTGTAGAAATATGAGGTGTGACTTCTAACACTTTCTTTGGATTTAGAATCCGATTGTATGATATCTTGTATCCACAATGTATGTGTAGATGAAGGGGCAGACTAATGCATAGAAAAAAAAGCCTATATGATTCTTTGGTTAGGAAAATGGGCAGCATATAAAGCAAGCCAGTAAACAAACAAACAATAAATAATAAATAAGAATAGGCATCAGTATCACCATTAATAGAAGACCAAGAAAGAGAAGATGAAGATGATGAAGAAGAGGAAGACAAGGAGGAACAGAAGAGAAGGAGGAGGAGAACAAGAAAGAGAAGAACATTATTATTATTAAATTATCTGCTTTGCAGTCAACTACAGTATTTAAAAATGTAAGAAACAATAGAAATGCAGAGGAGCTGAGGCAAACGGCATGAGAAAAAGTTTGTCATTTTTTAAAAGTACACTTTTCTGTGGTTGTCTGTAATAAAAGACAAAGAAGGAGAGAGGTTATCGATGCTAGAGGCTAGAGGCTGGAAATATTATACCAGCTAGAGGTCCAAAGGGTGATTCTACCCAAGGGACTTTAATTGAACTAATGTTAGACTCCCAGAATGTTTTGAAACTCTGGTGAATGCTTTAGAAATGAGAGAAGATTCAAACTTACATTTTGTAACAATATATTTAGAAAAATTTAATAGATGCAAAGGTGTATTTAAAATCAAGCAGAGAGTAATGGATGTTAATTCTACAGCAATCCTCAAGCACTTGCCAATCAAATAAAGAAACTGTGTGAAAACTACTTATTGTAAAGCCATATTCAAGAAAGGACCACACAACAACACAGTTAGGCAACAGAATGATAAAGCAGGCCGACAGGAACATTATCTTGATACAGAGGAGATTTCCAGAACTAACAAAAAATCATTATAAAAGAATCTGCACTAATTTGGTGAAACCAGTAATTTAATTAAGGAAGGGGAGAGATTCAATTGGGCATGGATTACAAAGCTTCCATTTATCCAGCAGATGGAAGACAAATCTGTTTTAAAGGCAAAGATTCTCTGTGACTACAGGGACATGAGAAAGAGAGGAGAATTGAACAATAGTTTATTTGAATGAGAAGGCTAAAACTGTAAAATAGCTACATAAGAAGAATTTGTGGTATAGGGTCTGGGTAATAAAGATTGGATTCTAGTATCTCAATCTGAGCCAGAGATCCTGGTGAGATAAATGTATATTATGTATTAAAGGAGGAAAAAAACCAATTCTATTTTGGACTCTCTAGAGAGTTTGTCTTTATGATGATATTGCTCAATCCATAACAATTAATCAACAAATATCTATTGAACTTTATTATTAATTTATATATATATATATATATATATATATATATATATATATATATATAT